GACATAAATTTGTCTAAAATTTATCCATAATTTTATTTAAAATTAAGTCTTTTGCGGTAATACTGACTCACTTGTATTTCATGTACTTGTGATGCTAAGATATTTTAGCTGCACGATGAAAGCTGGAACTCCCATGTGTGCCATACAGGCAAGCTAAGGCTTGTACTGTCATATGCACACTGTTCTTCCTTATGGACTTTTTAAAAAATGGATCCAGATAAGATTTAGGCCAGGTAAAGAGCTGTCTATAAAGCTTTCCATCAAGACAATTCATTTGTAGCATTTGCACTTATACTGGCTAGTATTAAAATGCCTGAGAATCTTTGTTTCACAGCAAAAGTTGATCATTGGCAGAAGTTAGGAGAGCAAACAGATTCTGATCAAAGAGGTTTTACTGTCAGCTATTTCTATTCTCTGTCCTTATCTACAGCACACTACAATGTGATTTTAGGGAAGTAAGTAGAATTGTTTCTCTGAACATGGAAATTGTGGTAGTGTTTTATGTTTGAGCAATGAGGTATTATAGTTGTAGGTTTCTAATAGTTATTTACCATAATTCTCAAGTTTCTGCGGTTGAAGCCATTTGCTAGAAGGAAAATATCTGAAGTAAGGTTTCATTTTGTAGAGAAAATCCTGTCAGTTCAGTCCCTGTTCTTTTCTAACATTGTGTGTGTGTGTTGTGCTTTTCCCCATACAGCTTGCACCACGAGAAAAGGCAGCTATGAACTACAATCAGAAGCTGAAGGAGAAGTTCCAGTACCATCCACAGATCAAACGCATAGCTCGGCATCGTCACTTGCCTAAAAGCATCTATTGCCAAGTCAAGGAGCAACGTATCATGAAAGAAGCTCGTCGGCGAAAGTATGTCTTCCTTTTCTGGCTTTGTTTTCTTTCTGTCTTCATAAAAAGCGTCACTTGCTGCCATACATTGCTGCGATAGCATTATTAAAGCTACAGTGTATGGGAAGAAGAAATATGAGTTACTTTTAATCCTGTGAATAAGTGACTGTGAAATACTGGATTGATCAGCCTTCAGTTACAAGGAAAATGCAGATAGGTGCCAGTAGCAACAAGGACTGGCTGTGTCTCCAAGTTTACCGAAGGAATAGGAGAGAATATCAGGTTGCAGTGAGCCGCAGTGCTGTGTTGTGTGTGATGTGACACAACGTTGCAATAGCCTGGAGTTGTTTGTTTTTTGTTTTTGTTTTATTTTTAAATGCCAGACTGCAGCATCAGCATGATCATTGGCATATTGGATTCCTAGGAGAGGAAGATGGCATACTTTACTGTTGCCATGAAATTGTCAATAAAAATATAAAGTGGTGGGTTTTAGTCATTTTTCTCACCTGAAAGCTTTCTACATACTTGAGGAGCAAATCCTACTGACACGAAAACCAAGTAAACTGTGTCCCAAGAAAAGGCTCAATTTAAAACTTTTCTAAATTAGCCAGCTTTGAAGTTTTTTTTTTTTCTTCAAAGGAGTAATCCTCCTTCTCAAAGAGGAAATACATTGGTTTTGATTAATTAAAAGCAGAGCACTTCTGATTTTTTTTTTCTTTTTTTCTTTCTTTTTTTTTTTTTTTAAGTTGCAAGGTATCTCAGTAGTAGCTTAAGGAAGAAAACAGTATTTTTTTTTAACTCTTTGTGCCAAATACTGAATTGCATTTTTCTTCTTTCTATTCTAGGGAACAGAATCGTCGTAAGCACAGCAAACCAGGATCTGTGCCTTTTGTGTCAGAGAAGAAGAAACATATTGTGGCAGTAGTGAAATAATTTTTTTCATATTTACAAAATGACATTTGGAAAAAAAAGTTTGAACCCACTGTACAAAATGTGAGGGTCGTTAGTAAGACAAAGTGTGGCTCTGGAAACGTTGCTTTTCTTTCATGTATACAGTTGCTCTGATTTCTCAAGTCATCGTCTGCTTTGCGTAGTCCTAAGAATTGGCTTTGAGTCTTTTATTACCATCTGTGTGGCTGGTGTTACTGGGCCCAAATCTGTATATTTCAGTGGAGTTTCTCCCTTTTAATGTAAGCAGATAACTTGATCCTTGGGGTAGGATATCTGTGGCTCCAATTCTATTCCTTGGTACTTTTCCTTCAAAAGAAGAATGAACGTGATTCAGAACTGGCAGCAGCAAATAACTAAGTTCCATATATTAGAATCGTAAAATCAGTTGTCTTTACACTGACTTTCTACAGAAATCTAATGAAGTAAAAAAGTGACCATAAAGCAGTGGGCTGCTAGGTCATGATTATTCCAAATGACTAATATACTGCACTATATTTATTGCAGAATGGTATACCATTTTCCCTTTATCTAAAAGGAATTCAGCGTGACTGTCAGACCTCTGTAAGCATATTTAGAGTTTTGTTCTGTGTTCTTAACTGTTGTTACAGGACTCGACAAAACTTCAAAGACTGTTAAAGTTGCTAATACTAATAATGACTTTCTTGAATAAATATCTTTTCTGTTTAGCTTATTTAAAACTTATACAACTTATGTCATCCTTCATCCAGGTTTTAGAAAACCCCAAAACTTCTTTAGATGAGTTTTTATTACAAGCTTCCTTAAAAGCTTGTATTAAGAAATAGGAGCTTCATATTTCTAAAGTTACCTGCAGCCCCAAAGCTCTTTCACCATTTTTGTGAGAAATGCTTTGCTTCTCTTTCACTGGGATAGACTTAGCTTTTTACTGAAGATACAAAGGTGCTCAGAAGAACAGAAAACTGTGCCAGAATTCAACTAGGCCTCTTAGGCTGAAGCCTTCTCTTGCAGAAATGCAAGATACTTAATGACCATAAATATTATGATAGATTCTTGGTAGGCATCTTTTATTTTTAATGTTATTTAACATTTTCTGTACAAAAGGATTTGTTTTTTCAGCCGTTGCACTACTATGCAGTCTGTAACTACTCCTAAGTTTGTGCACAACAAATATGTTATGAACCCTATTGGAATTAACTCTGTAATTTAACTTGTTTTCTGTTTTTTACTTTGGAAGTATCACCTTGAGCCAAAATTATGGCTGTTTGGTAACAAGAGGCCATAATGCGTCTTTTACGCTTTGGTTCACTTTCCTTATGGGGTGGGAAGAGAAGCAGATCTGAAGATCTGTAGGGTTATGAGAAGCGGTAGAACAGATCAGGAAAAAGAGTGATGCTGGCCATGTGTCTGTTGCACTAACATGATGATGTGCTCTGTGCCAAATGGAATTTACTTCCTTCCAGGAACAGTGAGAAAATTGAGGGAGAATGTGCTGTCCAAAGTATGGCTTATGACACAGCTGTAGCAAGTCCTGAACAATTTGCAAAGCCAGACTAATGTTCTGCATTTTGACAAAAATTTTCAGCCTTTTCAGTTGAGGTTGAGTTGGTGTAGTTGGTTGTTGGTTTTGTTTTCAGACCTTTGGATCCCAGTAGTGCAGTTAAGTCATGTTAACCTCTGGTGTGAACAAATCCTGCCTCTTGGAGTTTTTTGGCTTGGGTGCAAGACTCTGAATTCAACTACAAAGCATTCAGTTCTGGAGCTAGTTTGGACATCACAAGGTACTGTAGCTGTGAGGCTCTGCTGCATGGAATGGACAGGCCAAAGAATCTCTTGATGTGCTAAGAGTTTTTGCACTATTGATTTCAAACAGGCCAACAAGTGGAGCAACTTGAAGGATTAAGGTCAGCTCAAACTGTTGTTAAAGAGATCTAACAGTGTACTGAAAAAAGGAATTTTAAAGTTTAGGGTCAGAATATTTAGAGACTGGTGTATTTGGAAATCGTTTCCTTTCCTTTTCCAAATTCAGTGGGTGTGATCTTGTACAGAGATCTTGGCCTTGTCATCAAGTAGGGTTGTATCAAGTGGGGCACTGTCTCTTAGCATTCCAGGAAAAAGTCTGTTTTCCAAAATCAAGTCTTACTATGACTTCTAGGGACGTGCTAGTTGTAAAATCAATGTAGGTATGGGCTGGGGTTTTCTAGTTGCAAGTTAGTTGTCTGGGATTCTGCAGGTGCTGTTTGCACTTTTGTCTGTTTAGAGGAGCCCTAGTTGTGGACTTGCATTTTGTTGTGCTAGCTGCTGTTGGCTTGTTAAAACGGTCCTTTTGTAAACCTTTACAGTTAGTCTCCAACACTTTGTGGTTGTCCACCGAAAATAGATAGTGCCACAATACTTGAGAGAATTTTATTTCTCTAAATATGATAGTTCCTAAGTGGTAGCTCTGTGCTTACAAGAAGGGCTTATACAAGTCTGTCATAGGCCATCACTGAAAAGGTGTAGAATTTGTGTTAAAGAAGCTGGAGCTCTTAGTCTCCTCCCTGCCCCCGAAAGATTTGAGATGTAATCTGGTTTCTTCTTAATCACCTTAAAGGAGTTACCTAAATTTACCTAAATTATTATATAAGGGTATGGATGCATGTTTTTGCATGTATGCATACTGAGGTTGTAGGCGGAGTAAAATCTTTAGCTTTTTTTAATTATTATTTAATGTGGCTCAACTAAGATGCAGAAAACACAAGGAAACTGCTAACAATTGTCTTCAAGTTTTTGTTATGGTTGATCTAGCAGGGAAAAATCGTGGACTGTTTTCTGAAGCAAATACAGTGTCGGCATACCTGCTACTTATTAAAAGCAGTAATTTCTGTATGTATTCTGTGTTTGGGAAGATATTTATTCCACTTAAAGTCTGTTTCAAAAGAGAAATAACTTCTTTGATACAGAATTATTTAAATCAATGTTCATAGCTTTGGTTAATTTGAGCTGCTTCATGATAAAGATTTCCTATGGAGTCTACACCTGTTTTATTGTAGCCAGGCTACATAATGATATTTGAATAAAATGATTTATTTTACTCTGTGTATGTTCTAGATATCTGGAACAAGATACACTGCCATTCAGGTTTCTGAGGATTATATGGAAATAGATAAGAGTTTAGACCAAGTAAATAGATTTTTACTCAAGCTTTTTGTCAGAGTCCTTGTGGGCATTCTTCGCTTTGTTTTGGGTAGTTGAATCTGATGGGCTTCAGGGCCTGGGGCTTTCTCCCATCCCAGCCTGCGGGATGTGAGGCTGCTGGGCTTCTGTGTCCCTGGGTCCAGCCAGCGGCAAGCCTGTACACACATTCCCAATACACATATACCTACCTATGTGCACACATACTGTGTGCGTGTCTGCACAGTACAAACAATATACTGCACGTGACCCACCACACACTCATACAGAGAACAGAGCTTTTACCGGCACCTGGATTAACACAGACTACACTTGCTTCATACAGCTCAGTCCTGCTTCTCCTTTCCAGCTGGTCATGGCTGTAGTTCACCACTGGAACAATAGGGTGCACAATAGGGTTTCTCTGGTAGCTGGTAGACCATTAGTGACTGGCATCCAGCCCCTGCTATTCCCCAGTTGCTGGACCCTGGACTCTCAAGTCCCTCAGCTTTGTGGTCCCACTCCAGTTGCTGGTACTCACTTCCTCTTGTCCCACTCATTGGCTAGTCCCACTTGAAATTTGCTAGCTTTGACACATACATAAACACAAAACGGTTAGAAATGAGGTTTACTAAGAACACAGGCCAGACTGCAGTGATGAATACAAGGCTCAGGCATAGAAGTGCAGTAACCAGCAACCTCTTTACGTGTGACTGACCCCCTTTATCCTTCTTTTTCCCCTCTATTTTTTCCATGCTTGTTTCTCCCCAATCCACCTTGCTCTCTGCCTTTACCCCACCTTTGATGTTTTCCTTAAAGGTCTCATAATAAGTCTCGCACATTCCTGCAGTCCCTGAAAATATCTTGTAATAAATTTTACACAACCCCAATTTATTTCTGTTCTATCCCTAAATTCTCTTTCCCCTCTATCCTGTAAGTCACAGAATCGCAGAACAGTTGAGGTTGGAATGGACCTCTGGAGATCATCTAGTCCAACCCCCCTCCGCTCAAGCAGGGTCACCTAGAGAATGTTGCCCAGGATTGTGTCCAATTGGGTTTTGAATATTTCCAAGGAAGGAGACTCCACAGCGTTCGTGGGCAACCTCTGCAATCCAGTGCTCTGTTATCCTCTCAGTCAAGAAGGCTTTCCTTATGTTCAGATGGAACTTCCTGTGTTTCAGCTTGTGCCTGTTGCCTCTTGTCCTACTGCTGGGCACAGCTGAGAAGAGTCTGGCCCTATCCTCTTTATAGCCTCCCTTCAGATCCCCCCTCCGTCTTCTCTTCTCCAGGCTGAACAGGCCCAGTCCTATACCCCTCAGGCAGTAATCCCCCTCATTTGCCTGGCACTCCAGAATTTCCTTTACTCATGTTACTGCAGTTTCACACCAGGAACAATGGTCTAACATTCTCTGATGGTTTTAGGAGTAGCAATTCAGTGTGCTCCATTTTCACTAATTGTTCTTCTGATCCTTGCTATGTCTTTGTGTTTAATTTGCTTAACCTCTAGTCAGATAATCTAACACGCTTTATGATATGAAAATATCGTTCTTTGTAGTGCCTTCTGGTCCTCTTTTTTGGGCCAACATAGTGACACTTGCAGTAGAATTCATCTTCCTTAACTGTAGATGTCTACGGTACAAACATGGTAAACAGCTTGGGTATACCTGATTTCTCTTTGTACTTGGTGGAGAGAAATAGTTACTCTCAGGATTCATTTCTCCCTTATTTAGGTAACTGTATTAGGATTTTCAAAGCTTCTCGCTCTTGTATAATTTATAACATCAGGACACCAAAGTCAGCTAGTTCACTTGTGATTATTTAGATTTGGTCAGAATCACACACAGAGGTGGTTAGGTTGAAGATGAGCAAAACCAAAGAAAAGTGTGAAATTAGGGAGACAAATGCAGAGCTTGGAGAAGAATATTTAGCAAATTTGGATTTTATCTTAATGAAACTACTATTTAAGATAGTGAAGGTTGGTGCATGGAATTGGTTTGTGATAAAAGTTTTGATTTAACTAAGTAATAAGCAACAGTAGTGCTGCGTTGAAAGGGCTTATGTTTTGAAAAGGGTGTTTCTGTATCAGTTACCTAGATCTTAGCTAGAGGTACTTTTGTCAATTTAAAGAAATTACCAGTTTATTGAATGAATTGACGTCAAGCTCTTAAAATGGAATATATTGTACATGAAAACGTATATCATATTTATAAAATACAACATCTTTAATAAAAGAGAAATGAAGGGAAGAGGTAGTCAAATGGTGGTTTCCATCTGGAATGATTATTCTTCAGCAAATGCCCGTTCTGGGACCATATAACCTCTTTATCAGCCTCATTACTTTGTTGTTTCACTTATTAATGAATTTACCTGTATTAATATGTAATGGTACAATTCAAAATTAATGAACCTGTTTCAATTTTTAATTTGAAAACATCTGCTAGAAGACTGAGCTTGCTCTTCCCATATGGCTGCATCCTATTTAGCTGTATGGGCACGTAATAACACAAAAGTATTGATTGACTTAATACAATCCAATACAGGCTAAATCAAGTGGCAGCAATGACTTTTAATATGGAGGAGCTAACTTACAGGTTGTTTTTGTAAATATTTATTTTATTTGTATATGTTTGTGCATGAATAAGATTTGGGAATAACATTTTTAAAGATAACTTTTCTGTAGATGTAGCTGCATCCACAGTTTCTCAAAACATTTTTCTTTATATTTAAGATGGTGCTGAAAAGGATTTTTTTAATTTGTGTTATTATTTCGTTTGATAGAGTCAGGGGTTGCTTAGAACAAAATAATGTCAAGAGAATGAATAGGAAAAACTGTAAAGATGCTTTGCATACATAGAGTACTACTATTTCGATATAGGGTCTTAGGGCAATAAAAGAAGTTCTACATCTCTTTTGACATTTACCATCTCAAAATGAGTAAGATTAATTACCTGAATACCTGAAGATTTATTCACTTTAAAGGATGACTGTAGTGAAAATAACTTCTAAGATGTGAAAGTCTTCCACCAGGCCTTCTGTCTTCCAGAGAGTTTCTAGAAGAAAGGAGTGGGGCTTTTCTGTGAGAAAGATGCCAGTGAGGCAGAGTAGGGCATACTGCAAATGGAGATGGGGAAGCATGATGGCAAGGAGGAGAGCAACCTGGGGCAGATGGATGTGTGAGTATGGGTGGGTGCAGTCCATTCACAGCCTGTGGGGAAAGCAGGTGCACATATTGGTTTTCTGGTAATTGCAAAGTAAGTGCTGGGCTGAAGTAAATGCTCTGCATCAGAAACCTGCAAATTATTGTGCAAACTTGCATGTAGGACAGAAATTAATCCTTTAAAACTGTGTCACTGTCGTTTTGAAATTGAAGTCACATGGGTACTCCTAAGCATAGTGCAGTCTGACAAGTTTTTCCTTTCGCCGGTACTGGAAAATCGGTAACCTTTACAGCACGTTCTAGAAGTTGTTGTCTGCTATGCAGCATCACAGAAGTCTAAAACCCTGTGAAGAAAAGACGAATGAGGTTCTGTAACTGAGGGCAAAGAAGTTTCTGTGGAAAATAGTTTGTGGGAAACTTAAGAGCTCAATGTTATACTGGAGAAAGATGGAAAGGCATTTGAAGAAGATGGACTTTAATTAGAAAGAAAAGGCTGTGTTGTGTTCATCTGGGGTTTCTGGGACTTAAGAAGATAGATGAAGAAATCTAGGACAAAATCAAAGATCGTAGCTCAAATGCCATCAACTGAAATCTGTTGAAACTGGCATTCCATACTATATTAAAGTAAAATAATACCTCACTCCTTTTCTCCTCTGAGTTGGAGATCATGTCCTTTATAAGCGATTGGAAACAAACTTAAGCACTTATTTGAAGGCTGATGAGTAATTACTATTCTCATTGCCTTTAAGCAGAGCTGCACTTTTTCTGTGCCTTGAAAGCTTGGATCTGGGATCTCTATGGATCTTGGGATAAAAAGTGGAAGATCTTGATTTTTTAAAGTTTTTAAAATATAAGTAAACGTTAGTATATTCAGTGTTTTCATTTTGTCCGAGTCTGGAGCTGTTTCAACAGATGCAAATACTGTGTTCTTGGCAGGTGGACGGAGATGATTGGGCATTTATAGCATGTTGCATCATGTTTTCTACTTCTAGGTCTTGTGTGGGTAAAAAAGATCTGGCTGCAGACAAAGGACGATTGCTGATTATTAAGAAGGTTAAGATAAATGCATGGAGATAGTATTTTGACCATCATTGTAAAAATGTGATTAAAAAAATTCAGTATGATCGAAAACTACAGATTTAATATAGATTTAAAAGACATGCTGGACTCATGTATTTATCACAAAACTCACACCCAAGTCTCTGACTTGTGTTCAAGCAGAACAGAATTCTTTAAAGCTGAAGATCTGATTTTTTTTTCTGATAGCTTTATTGCAGAAACCAATTTCTGTTCAGTGACATGAAAAAATGCCTCGAATTTGCAAAATAGCGCATAAATGCTTGTTCGTGTGTCATGGCACAAAGTAAAAGTGCATGCAGGGAGTTAGCAGGGGGAAAGGGGATTTGTTTCCTCTGCTAAGAAAGGCCGTTAGATCAAACACTTGCATAAGACAAGGGTTCCTGTGTAGTTCATGTGTTGATGGAGCCAAACCTTACCAACTTCAAATGAACCTTTGTCTTTAGTGGTCCTAGTTTAAAAAGAAATAAACAGTTTAAATTTTAAAATGCCAGAACTAAGAGCTTTCCTATTCAATGGACAGAGAGAGAGACGGAAGCATATGCCAGTTGAGAAAAGAAGGCAGTGTGTTGCTGTTGCTGTACGAAGTAGGTAAACTGTATGTAAAAATCATACAGCATCTTCACAGTACTTCTAGTCTGAGTAGAAAGGCTTTGTCTTGGTCTTAGTAATAGCTCCAGTGA